CATCAACGTCTTCATCATGTTGTTCAAAATATTTATCAGGAAAGTTCGTGTTGTATTCTTTGAGTTGTTGTTCTGTGAAAGTTGTAACAGAGTCGTTATCGTCTTTAAATTGTTCAGGACTGACATCTGATTCTTCGTTGATTTGTGGAGTTGCATGTACTTGTTTTTTGGTGTCGACTTGGTTTTCGGAAATTAAGTAAGAAAGTCTCGATTTTGGATTCGTAACGAGAGGCAAACCAATTAGAATAACGAACAGTCCAAGTATTAGAAATGCACATAGATTGAAAAAATAAATACTTCGAATCATAATTTGTTTAGGAGTTCAAATTCAAAATCAACATTTTTAGTATTAGAATAGAGTATCTTGCCAACATTGTACTGGTTTTATTATCAATGATAATTGGAAAATATCGGGATTTTGTTCATAATACGAAATAAAAACAGTGTTTTAAATTTTTTTAAATTTTATCAATTTTTTTAATTCCCATTTTAACATTTTTTGGTTTATAAATTGATAAAAATGATAGCTTTGGAGACTGGTACAACGTTTTACAACAAACTCTTTTATTTATTTCGGACAACAATAAGTAAGCTATTGTCTTTAAAAACGATTATTCAAAATTTATTGTATTTTGTTTACTATGTACATTGTTATTTTACTATGATATGTTAATTTGTTTAATTTTTTGCTGGTAATGAAAATATAATATTTCAGATATTTTTGTTGAAAATCTATTCAATTATAAATAAATAGTATTATTTTATCTAAATTAATATTTATATAAAAAGTCGGGTTTAGAAAAATCGAAAACATTGTTAGTGTGATTCGACTTTTTAAACTGTCGAATATTGTTTATATTGAAATATTAGAGGTTTGTTTTTCTAAATATTGTACGACAGAAAAAACACACAAAATAAATGTAAATATGTATAACAACTATACAGTAGGAGGAAATATGGGGATGCTCGAAAAAGGAGGATGCTTGTAACTATTGGTTAATTTCAATTAAAAAATAATAAAATTACTATTAATTTTAATATAAATTATTAATCAAAAAATTGATAAAATGAAAAACAAAAATATATTTATATTAATTAATTATTATTAATAATATTAAATTGATTAATTATTAGATTAGCATCCCACTTTTTCCGTTAACTGTAATTAAATTAACAAAAATAAAATTGTAGCTATCAATATAGTATATATTATCAAAGTGACTTATTAAATATACTTGACCCCTTAAATTGTTAAATCTTTCGAGTTGAATTGATTAATAAGTATACAATTCGGTATTTTTTAATTAAAAAATAAACTGGTAAAAATAATCTAATTGGAATTACTTTTATATGAACCAAATATATAGTATTATTTTTCAAATGATTTATCTACAAAAAATGGGTAATAATGAATTTTTTTTAAAAAAGTTTGGTCAAATAAGACCTAATAAAAAAATATTTTTTGTATAATAGTTTTATTTTGTTAACTTTCAAACATACCGATAGTCAGACAACCATTTGTGTAAAAATTGTACCATTTGAAAAGTAACCCAAAAACTAAGTACAGATAGTAGAAAAATAAGGTGTCAGGAATAAATTGGGTGTCAAATAAATTAGGGATTAGTTAATGTAAAAAATGGGTTTCGTTTTTTTATTTTTTCCCCTCACAAAAAAATATAAAAAACCAATAAATAACTCAAAATCAATCTGAAACCCAATTTATTCTTGACACCCAAATTTTCTACTATCTGTAGTTACAGAAACCTGGATAATCAATTAACAAAGAAAAAAGGTATGACAAAATTCTATTTTTAAATATCAGTGTAATTATTATTAAGGTTTGATAACCAACGTAAGGGGATTTTGTTAACATTTCAAAAATTAAAACAAATCAATTTTTAATTACAAACTTGGTTTCAATATAAGTAGGAATATGAGTAATAACTAGAGTTGGTGGAAAAAAGTCCGGCTCGATAAGATAAACTATTTTTTATAATAAACAACTATTTGTATTTTGTTTCTTTTTTATTATTATTAAAATTCAAATTACAAACGAGCCGAACGAACAATGAAATTAAGATATCGAGACATGCTTTTTTAGTGCTCAAATCCCGAAATTGTACTTAACACAAACGCAGTTTAGGAACTTCATGTGTTGGTTCTCAGTCTTTTTTACGTTTTGGTTCATTTACATGAAAGGTTTTACTGGTTTTTCCTGTTTGAGGTGGCATTGAAGGAGCGACAATTCCTTTTTTAATTTTCACGGCATTTTGCGGACCCACGTGAACGATATTTTGACAATTGGAATCGGTTGCTGTAACAAACCAGCCGCCTCGAAATGCAGAAATAATGGTTTTTATCGTTGCATTGCGTTGTATCGACTGCATAATGTTAACCAATTAATTGGTTTGATAACTTTCAGTTTGGCTATCTTTCATACTTGCCAAATCCCTTTTTTCAATTCCAAAAAACCCAACATCAAGAGGTTGTAACTGGTGACTTGTATGAGAAGGCAAAACAAGCAAAATAATGCAATTTGAAGTGCACATATCAATACAACACTCGGTAATATGAGACCCAAATCCGTCAATAATCAACACAACATAACCATAATAGTTTAATTTGTTTTTTTGTTCAAATAGGGGACAAATGAATTCTCGAACCATTCTTCATAAATTGCAGAAGTCATAAAACCAGTTTCACTGTAAAACAGATCAAGATGTTGTTTAGTTAGTCCAAGTGTCACCATTTCAATTTCAGCTGTTTTTCTTGGTAACACGAACAAAGGCTTTACGTATGTTCCATCCATACAGATACAAAACAACAAAGTAATTCTTTTCCCACTCCGATTCACAGAATTACTAATTTTTGAAGTTTCAGATGAAACAAACACTTTCTTTTTTGTCGCATCAACAAACTGTTGATGTCCAGCTTCATCAAGATTAAAAAGAAACGAGGTGGGCATTCCATTGACTATTTGAACTCTGTTAAACCAACTAATTACATCAGCATCATCGACAATTCTTTCGCTTTCAATTGCAGTTGTGGTGATTACATGCACATCTCCACGAGTCTTGAGTGCTGTTGTTAAAGTTTTCTTACATTCAGAACACCCAAAAACATATTCAAACTCCATTATAATATCGGAAGTAGTAAGAGGTCTATTTGCTTTTTCACAAGTTTTAATCAACTCAGTACAATACCTTACCATTTCATCAGTTATAACTTTACCCCTGCCATCCTTTGATAACATGGTGTTCTTTTTAATTGCAGCAATTTGTTTGTTTAATAAGTCTTTACTTATTCCGAAAATGTAACACAAGAATCTTTTTTCAATCCATCCAAGTTTCTTTTCATCACGACACGCCTTGTCATAGAAACATTGTATTTGTTCCAATCGAGT